AGTCGGCTCGGGGATTAGAACCAGCGACCTTTCGGTTACTGGCACAACGCTCTTACCCACTAAGCTACCTGCCGCCTTTGTTGCTCCTAGATGTTTCCACTTCACAATAACAGCACTTACCCTTGACCGGGGGCAGCTTTAGCAGGGCAGAAATTTGAAGAGCTGACTTGTTGGAAAGGTTGGCATCCTATGACGGTGCCACGTTGAAAGTCACTGAGCTCTTCAGTATGGGCCATTCTACTATCAATGTTTGGAGATTGCGTGGCTGTGTTCTCGATTTTATACACCTGCCAGCAACAGGTGTGGCTGAAATAGCTGAATCCACTAATTTGAAGGGCTTTTGGCTCGTGGTGTAGCTTTCAAGGGTTATGTAGGCTTCTAACCTACTGCGTTCTACTTCAATACAAACAACACTAATATGATCAGGCTGTATCTTTACAATAAAAACCAAAAGTCCGTCAGATTTCCATTCATTCCAAATAATTGAATACCCCTTGATCTTCAAGAATATGACTTGTAAATATAGATTAGTATAATTGTTTTAACTGAACATAACCTAAAAACTAAGGACTTATTAGCCTACTCTGTCATGTATGATTTATTTTTGCCATGGAGGACTGATTGGGCCCGTTGCTTCAAAACATGGTTGAAACATAAAATGCTGCTCTCATGGAATGGCATGCTTCGAGCACCTCCACGACCGTAAAGGGCGTTTTACACGTGGAAAGCGAAGGACACATGCTGCGTCTGCTATAGGCCTATTGTTTGTGTTTTGTTGGTGGCACTTTGATATCTGGATTATTTGCAGCTGTTAAAGTCAATCAAAAGTGCGCGGGTTTAAGCATGTCTCCGTTAGGTCGAATCAGCACAACTTAGAAAGAGTAATAAAAGCCCCACTCGTGGTCTTTTTTACAATAGGTCACAACACCATGGAGGTTAGAAGGAACTCCCTCAACCTGCTATTCCATAGGCTGGGATCAGCACTACGCAGCTGTTGCAAGAGTGTTTTTTTCACTGGCTGTCCACGGGCCCAAAAACAATGGATTGTTAGGCAGCTTAAGCTTCTTCAATTCAACCATTGGGTTAAAATACACCTATACATTTGTTAACAGCCATCCACAACAACCACAAAATCGGTAAAGCGAGAATAATTGAGAGAGCATGACGTTCACATCACTGAGCGAGCAGCATGACGTTCACATCACTGAGCGAGCAGCATGACGTTCACATCACTGAGAGAGCATGACGTTCACATCACTGAGCGAGCAGCATGATGTTCACATCACTGAGCGAGCAGCATGACGTTCACATCACTGAGAGCAGCATGACGTTCACATCACTGAGAGCAGCATGACGTTCACATCACTGAGAGAGCATGACGTTCACATCACTGAGAGAGCAGCATGACGTTCACATCACTGAGAGCAGCATGACGTTCACATCACTGAGAGCAGCATGACGTTCACATCACTGAGAGAGCATGACGTTCACATCACTGAGAGAGCAGCATGACGTTCACATCACTGAGAGAGCAGCACGACGTTCACATCACTGAGAGAGCAGCACGACGTTCACATCACTGAGAGCAGCATGACGTTCACATCACTGAGAGAGCAGCATGACGTTCACATCACTAAGAGCAGCATGACGTTCACATCACTGAGAGAGCAGCATGACGTTCACATCACTGAGAGAGCAGCATGACGTTCACATCACTGAGAGAGCAGCACGACGTTCACATCACTGAGAGAGCATGACATTCACATCACTGAGAGAGCAGCATGACGTTCACATCACTGAGAGAGCAGCACGACGTTCACATCACTGAGAGCAGCATGACGTTCACATCACTGAGAGAGCATGACGTTCACATCACTGAGAGAGCAGCACGACGTTCACATCACTGAGAGCAGCATGACGTTCACATCACTGAGAGAGCAGCATGACGTTCACATCACTAAGAGCAGCATGACGTTCACATCACTGAGAGAGCAGCATGACGTTCACATCACTGAGAGAGCAGCACGACGTTCACATCACTGAGAGCAGCATGACGTTCACATCACTGAGAGAGCAGCATGACGTTCACATCACTAAGAGCAGCATGACGTTCACATCACTGAGAGAGCAGCATGACGTTCACATCACTGAGAGCAGCATGACGTTCACATCACTGAGAGAGCAGCATGACGTTCACATCACTAAGAGCAGCATGACGTTCACATCACTGAGAGAGCAGCATGACGTTCACATCACTGAGAGAGCAGCATGACGTTCACATCACTGAGAGAGCAGCACGACGTTCACATCACTGAGAGAGCATGACATTCACATCACTGAGAGAGCAGCATGACGTTCACATCACTGAGAGAGCAGCACGACGTTCACATCACTGAGAGCAGCATGACGTTCACATCACTGAGAGAGCATGACGTTCACATCACTGAGAGAGCAGCACGACGTTCACATCACTGAGAGCAGCATGACGTTCACATCACTGAGAGAGCAGCATGACGTTCACATCACTAAGAGCAGCATGACGTTCACATCACTGAGAGAGCAGCATGACGTTCACATCACTGAGAGAGCAGCACGACGTTCACATCACTGAGAGCAGCATGACGTTCACATCACTGAGAGAGCAGCATGACGTTCACATCACTAAGAGCAGCATGACGTTCACATCACTGAGAGAGCAGCATGACGTTCACATCACTGAGAGAGCAGCATGACGTTCACATCACTGAGAGAGCAGCACGACGTTCACATCACTGAGAGAGCATGACATTCACATCACTGAGAGAGCAGCATGACGTTCACATCACTGAGAGAGCAGCACGACGTTCACATCACTGAGAGCAGCATGACGTTCACATCACTGAGAGAGCATGACGTTCACATCACTGAGAGAGCAGCACGACGTTCACATCACTGAGAGCAGCATGACGTTCACATCACTGAGAGAGCAGCATGACGTTCACATCACTAAGAGCAGCATGACGTTCACATCACTGAGAGAGCAGCATGACGTTCACATCACTGAGAGAGCAGCATGACGTTCACATCACTGAGAGAGCAGCACGACGTTCACATCACTGAGAGAGCATGACATTCACATCACTGAGAGAGCAGCATGACGTTCACATCACTGAGAGAGCAGCACGACGTTCACATCACTGAGAGCAGCATGACGTTCACATCACTGAGAGAGCATGACGTTCACATCACTGAGAGAGCAGCATGACGTTCACATCACTGAGAGAGCAGCATGACGTTCACATCACTGAGAGCAGCATGACGTTCACATCACTGAGAGAGCAGCATGACGTTCACATCACTGAGAGAGCATGACGTTCACATCACTGAGAGCAGCATGACGTTCACATCACTGAGAGCAGCATGACGTTCACATCACTGAGAGAGCATGACGTTCACATCATTACGATGTAGATATCAACAATAGGACTAAAATTGCGTGTCGGCCGTGTCATCCATACCGCCAAGCGTCTATTCAAGTTTGTTGTATCATCTTTGGAACGCCGACAGAAGTCGCATAATTGAAATGCATAGCTTGCACTATTGCCTACAAAAGCATTTGTCGTCAGTCACCTGACTTGGGACTCGCTCAGGTGGCACAAATGTAAACTTTGAATGTAGAGAAAGCAAGGTGGTTTTCATCTTTTCTCAAACATCCATTCTGAATTTAACAGTAATCAAAGTAGTAATCTAGTTGTTCAAAAGTATCTGTAATCCGATTACAGTAGTTTGCTGGTACCATAATGGACTACTGTTAGTTTTTTTGTAAATCAATTACATGTAATCCGTTAATCCCCAACCCTATTTACAGTACTGGACTCTTATTCTGAATGAGTCCAAAAATCTGTGCTTAGTTATTCTCGCCTCCTTCACAACAGTCAGAGGTTTCTTAAAGGTCTTCGCAACATCTCATTGGGTCACATCTCACAGAAGGTTTGCGGAAACTCTCTTGCCACCCCAAAGCAAATATGACAAAGACTGTTTTAGTATCTATTGAACATAGAACCTCTTTCAAATGTACATTATTTGTATTCCCCAGTCAAAGCATGCAGTCAAATGCATTGGAAACAGCTAATAGGATCACTTTTCAACTAACCATAATGCAAAGTCTGTGACTGATGTGTATTGCTATTGTTGATCTTACGGTTAATATTTATTCTGAAATATTTTCGCTCAGACCAGCAAAAAGTTCAGAGTAAAACCAGTTGTCTATAAAGTGAATCAATCCAGGCATCTTTTCCTTTACTCATCAACTGGACGACAGTAGTAAAATACTCACAGTATTTAATTTTTTGTACAAAAAACAGCCATCCAAGACAAGTGATACCTTATTCCCTCGACAACAAACATTGCAGGTTCTCTAAACGTTAAGCCTTACAGCACTGATTGGAGTCTTGGTTTAAACTTCAGAAAGGAAAGAGATCAATCTAGACATGACAACAATATTGCTTTTTGCTTCCGGATCGGTCAAAACACTAGAAAAAAATAAATGGCTTGAAACTAAAAAAGGCAAAAAGGGGACTTCGCAATAACACTGCCAGATTCAGTACAATTATACCCCTTTTAGTAGACAGATCTTCAATTGAACCATGTACAATTATGAACAGCACAAAGACAATGTGGCAAATGCAAAGGTCAATCCCTTCTAAAATACACACAAGACGTTATACATTGAAAATCCAGGACAGTCTAAGGAAGAATAAACAAAAAAACAATCTCCAATAGTTAGATGCTCTTAACCACGTCTCCCCCCCAAAATAAGAAACTAAAATGTGGATTTTTGGTTGTTGCCCCCCCCCCCCGTTAGTTCAGTTACACTGCATGCATGATACACATGAGATGCCTTCACAGCACAATGTAAAAACAGAACAGTTCAGCTTCTTTAAAAAAAAAAAAAAGAAAGAAAAAAACTAGGTAAGAGACACTACCACGGGACTTGCTGTTTGATTTGATTTTGTCCCTGATTATCTCCTGTAGCGCCCCCTCTCCTTCTCCCTCTCCCTCTCCCTGATCCTGTCTCTCTCCCGGTCACGCTCGCGTCCACGGTCTCTGTCACGGTCCCGGCGGGCGTCCCGGGGCCGTTCTCGCTCCCTCTGCCGGTCTCGTTCTCGGGGTCGGCTGCGGCGACCGGTCACCACGGCCTGGGTCCGTCTCAGGAAGTCATCCACCCGCATGTCATAGTCATGCTGCAGAGAGGGAGAGAGAGAGGTGGTGTTCAGGTTAAACTCTGACAGACAAAAGGTAGTGTCCCAAATACCACCCCCGTTCCCTTTATAGTGCACTACTTTAGACCCGGGCCCAAAGGGCTTTACCAGGCTGGAGCTGAAGGAGCGGACGACTCTCTTCTCCCTGAAGCGGGCGTCATGTGGTACAGGGTGGTGCCCAGCGTAGGGGGGGTGCGCCTGGGGAGGAGGAGGGTGGTGTTGGTAGAACGGGTGGTGAGGCGGCTGCTCCATCCCAGGGTAAGGGGCCTAAAGGGAAGGATATTTATTTTATTGACACTATGAATGAAGTCAGTGGAAAAAAGCCCCTAAATGTTTTATTTATTTTTATTTCACCTTTATTTAAATAGCAGGTAGGATCAATTAAAAAGACACATTCACTTTAACTATGCTATGTAACTATGGTGTACAAACATTAAAGTGCCATGTATGTAAAATGAGTGTATGTAACAAAACAAAAAATCAGCTGTCGTCTTCTGAAGAGGAGGATTGGTATGATTAAGATGAACTTAGAGAACCCAAAATATTGACTAATATACAGGCGGGAGCAGATCAGCCTAATATTACAGCAGGTGGCAGCATACTGCAACATGTTTCGACCAGACAGGTATTTCTCAGGTAGCGTTTAGATGCCTTTTTGACTTCTATATGTAGTATTAAACCATATGATTATTTAGCTCTACAGCTCTATGACCCAAACATCTAGAACATACCATTCCTTGCCAAGGAGGAGGCGGCCCAATGGTGTGGTGGAACTCTCTCATGTAATCGTTGTAGGACTGGGGATAACATTAACCACATCATGTTAATATTTATATTTATTATGGATCCCCATGCAGCAGCTACTCTTCCTGGGGTCCAGCAAAATTAAGGCAGTTATACAATTTTCAAAACATTACAATACACATTCAGGCCCCTACTCTACTACCACATATCTACAATACAAAATCCATGTGTACGTGTGTGTATAGTGCGTATGTTATCATGTGTGTCTGTATGCATGTGTCTGTGGCTGTGTTTGTGTTGCTTCACAGTCCCCGCTGTTCCATAAAGTGTATTTTTACCTGTTTTTTAAATCTAATTTCATTGCTGGCATCAGTTACTTGATGTGGAATAGAGTTCCATGTAGTCATGGATCTATGTAGTACTGTGCGCCTCCCATAGTCTGTTCTGGACTTGGGGACTGTGAAGAGACCTCTGGTGGCATGTCTTGTGGGGTATGCATGGGTGTCCGAGCTGTGTGCTAGTAGTTTAAACAGACAGCTCGGTGCTTTCAACATGTCAACACCTCTCACAAACACAAGCAGTGATGAAGTCAATCTCTCCTTCACTTTGAGCCAGGAGAGATTGACATGCATATTATTAATGTTAGCTCTCTGTGTACATCCAAGGTCCAGCCGTGCTGCCCTGTTCTGAGCCAATTACAATTTTCCTTAGTCCTTTTTTGTGGCACCTGACCACACTACTGAACAGTGGTCCAGTTGTGACAAAACTAGGGCCTGTAGGACCTGCCTTGTTGATAGTGTTGTTAAGAAGGCAGAGCAGCGCTTTATCATGGACAGACTTCTCCCCATCCTAGCTACTGTTGTATCAATATGTTTTGACCATGGCAGTTTACAATCCAGGGTTACTCCAAGCAGTTTAGTCTCCTCAACTTGCTCAATCTCCACATTATTCATTACGAGATGTAGTTGAGGTTTAGGGTTTAGTGAATGATTTGACCCAAATTCAATGCTTTTAGTTTTAGAAATATTTAGGACTAACTTATTCCTTGCCACCCATTCTGAAACTAACTACAGCTCTTTGTTAAGTGTTGCAGTCATTTCAGTCGCTGTAGTAGCTGACGTGTATAGTGTTGAGTCATCCACATACATAGACACTCTGGCTTTACTCAAAGCCAGTGGCATGTCATTAGTAAAGATATAATAATGTAAGAGGCCTAAACAGCTGCCCTGGGGTATTCCTGATTCTACCTGGATTTTGTTGGAGAGGCTTCCATTAAAGAACACCCTCTGTGTTCTGTTAGACAGGTAACTCTTTATCCACAATATAGCAGGGGGTGTAAAGCCATAACACACATGTTTTTTCCAGCAGCAGACTATGATCGATTATGTCAAAAGCCGCACTGAAGTCTAACAAAACAGCCCCCACAATCTTTTTATCATCGATTTCTCTCAGCCAATCATCAGTCATTTGTGTAAGTGCTGTGCTTGTTGAATGTCCCTCCCTATAAGCGTGCTGAAAGTTTGTTGTCAATTTGTTTACAGTAAAATAGCATTGTATCTGGTCAAACACAATTTTTTCCAATAGTTTACTAAGGGTTGGTAACAGGCTGATTGGTCGGCTATTTGAGCCAGTAAAGGGGGCTTTACTATTCTTAGGTAGCGGAATGACTTTAGCTTCCCTCCAGGCCTGAGGGCACACACTTTCTAGTAGGCTTAGATTGACGATATGGCAAATGGGAGTGGCAATATCGTCCACTATTATCCTCAGTAATTTTCCATCCAAGTTGTCAGACCCCGGTGGCTTATCATTGTTGATAGACAACAATCATTTATTCACCTCTTCCACACTCACTTTACGGAATTCAAAATTACTATTCTTGTCTTTCGCAATTTGGTCAGATATACTTGGATGTGTAGTGTTGCTGTCATGTCATGCCTACATTTGCTAATCTTGCCAATGAAAAAATCATTAAAGTAGTTGGCAATAATATCAAAAGGACTGAATCAAATTAACTGTATGTTAATATCAATGACTCATATACACACACATATACACACACATTATATACACACAAATACACACACAAAAGGTATGTGGACACCCCTTCAAATTAGTGGATTCGGCTATTTCAGCCACAACCGGTGCTGACAGGTGTATAAAATCGAGCACACAGCCATGCAATCTCCATAGCCGAACATTGGCAGTAGAATGGCCTTACTGAAGAGGAGCTCAGTGACTTTCAACGTGGCGCCGTCATAGGATACCACCTTTCCAACAAGTCAGTTCGTCAAATTCCTGCCCTGCTAGAGCTGCCCCGGTCAACTGTAAGTGCTGTTATTGTGAAGTGGAACGTCTAGGAGCAACAACGGCTCAGTCGTGAAGTGGTAGGCCACACAAGCTCACAGAACGGGACCTCCGAGTGCTGAAGCGCGTAGAAATCGTCTGTCCACTATTGAGTTCCAAACTGCCTCTGGAAGCAATGTCAGCACAAGAACTGTTCGTCGGGAGCTTCATGAAATGGGTTTCCATGGCCGAGCAGCCGCACACAAGCCTAAGATCACCATGGGCAATGCCAAGCGTCGGCTGGAGTGGTGTAAAGCTCGCTGCCATTGGACTCTGGAGCAGTGGAAACGTGTTCTCTGGAGTGATGAATCACGCTTCACCATCTGGCAGTCTGGTGGACAAATCTGGGTTTGGCGGATGCCAGGAGAACGCTACCTGCCCGAATGCATAGTGCCAACTGTAAAGTTGGGTGGAGGAGGAATAATGTTGCTGTTTTTCATGGTTCGGGATAGGCCCCTTAGTTCCAGTGAAGGGAAATCTTAACGCTACAGCATACAATGACATTCTAGACGATTCTGTGCTTCCAACTTTGTGGCAACAGTTTGGGATAGGCCCTTTCCTGTTTCAGAATGACAATGCCCCCGGGCACAAAGCGAGGTCGATACAGAAATGGTTTGTCGAGATTGGTGTGGAACTTGACTGGCCTGCACAGAGCCCTGACCTGTATCCCATCGAACACCTTTGGGATGAATTGGAATGCCGACTGCGAGCCAGGCCTAATCGCCCAACATCAGTGCCCGACCTCACTAATGCTCTTGTGGCTGAATGGAAGCAAGTCCCCGCAGCAATGTTCCAACATCTAGTGGAAAGCCTTCCCAGAAGAGTGGAGGCTGTTATAGCAGCAAAGGGGAGGACCAACTCCATATTAATGCCCATGATTTTGGAATGAAATGTTCGACGAGCAGGTGTCCACATACTTTTGGTCATGTAGTGTATATTTGTTGAAATCAACAAAAAATGTAATTCCTGAACTCACCCCATTGAGAAAAACATCTCTTCTTACTCCAGTGGGGAAGCGCCTGTGGGGAAATTAAGTTATTACTGGTTATTGTTTGGGGAGGGCAAGGGGTTGGTGGAGAGAGGAAGGGCCAGGAAAGGACTGGTGGAGAGAGGAGGGGCTAGGGAAGGACTGGTGGAGAGAGGAGGGGCTAGGGAAGGATTGGTGGAGAGAGGAGGGGCTATGGAAGGATTGGTGGAGAGAGGAGGGGCTAGGGAAGGATTGGTGGAGAGAGGAAGGGCTATGGAAGGATTGGTGGAGAGAGGAAAGGGAAGGACTGGTGGAGAGAGGAAGGGCTAGGGAAGGACTGGTGGAGAGAGGAAAGGCTAGGGAAGGACTGGTGGAGAGAGGAAAGGCTAGGGAAGGACTGGTGGAGAGAGGAAGGGCTAGGGAAGGACTGGTGGAGAGAGGAAGGGCTAGGGAAGGACTGGTGGAGAGAGGAAGGGCTAGGGAAGGATTGGTGGAGAGAGGAAGGGCTAGGGAAGGACTGGTGGAGAGAGGAAGGGCTAGGGAAGGACTGGTGGAGAGAGGAAGGGCTAGGGAAGGACTGGTGGAGAGAGGAAGGGCTAGGGAAGGATTGGTGGAGAGAGGAAGGGCTAGGGAAGGACTGGTGGAGAGAGGAAGGGCTAGGGAAGGACTGGTGGAGAGAGGAAGGGCTATGGAAGGATTGGTGGAGAGAGGAAAGGCTAGGGAAGGACTGGTGGAGAGAGGAGGGGCTAGGGAAGGATTGGTGGAGAGAGGAGGGGCTAGGGAAGGATTGGTGGAGAGAGGAAGGGCTATGGAAGGATTGGTGGAGAGAGGAAAGGGAAGGACTGGTGGAGAGAGGAAGGGCTAGGGAAGGACTGGTGGAGAGAGGAAAGGCTAGGGAAGGACTGGTGGAGAGAGGAAGGGCTAGGGAAGGACTGGTGGAGAGAGGAAGGGCTAGGGAAGGACTGGTGGAGAGAGGAAGGGCTAGGGAAGGATTGGTGGAGAGAGGAAGGGCTAGGGAAGGACTGGTGGAGAGAGGAAGGGCTAGGGAAGGATTGGTGGAGAGAGGAAGGGCTAGGGAAGGACTGGTGGAGAGAGGAAGGGCTAGGGAAGGATTGGTGGAGAGAGGAAGGGCTAGGGAAGGATTGGTGGAGAGAGGAAGGGCTAGGGAAGGACTGGTGGAGAGAGGAAGGGCTAGGGAAGGATTGGTAGAGAGAGGAAGGGCTAGGGAAGGATTGGTAGAGAGAGGAAGGGCTAGGGGAGGGGCTAGGGGAGGGGCTGTGGCGGTCATTACATTTTGTCAGCCGGTTATTTTCATGCAAATAACTGCTGGTCTCGCAGTAATTGACCGTTAATTAACATAAACACATTTAGCATCTCCTGGCTTCCACGCATAGCCACAAGCCACTGATGCAGACCTTTGGAAACATTTACATTTTAAAAAAGTATATTTATTATACACCATCACAATAAATCCGTTATTTTAGGCAGGTCTAAAGAAAACTTTGATTTGAAGAAAATGTATTTCAGAAGAACAGAATATGAGTTGGCCTACTGTATGTTATCTGGCTATGCTCCCATTACATTTGACATTTTAGTCATTTAGCAGACACTCTTATCCAGAGCGACTTACAGTTAGTGAGTGATTACATTATTATTAATTTTTCATACTGGAATCGAACC